AAATACTGATGGTCAGGCATACGCACTCAGAAAGGAGAGCGATACTGATCTTTAAATCTGTGTAAGCATATTACTTGTATTCAAATAAAATTAAACTAAAAGAGAGAGGAAGAAAAAGCTGATACATGACTCATCGGGAAGTTCAGCTCCGTTTATAATTTATAGCAAGCTACCTAGACGGTCTATGTTACTGTAGCTAAGAAGGTTGTGAGTTGACTGTGGAAGGACAGTCAGCTTTTCGGGGGGCTCCAGAGGTCCTCAGTGAGAACAGTCCTCTGACTATGCTTATATAAGAAGTTTAACTTCCTCTGGGTTAATTCTATAAATATTTTTATACCTAGTTTAATGAAGATTTTGGATATTTCTGCTCACTGTATATTTAGGAGTAGTGTTAGTGGGTCATAGGATAATTTCAGTAATTTTTCGTTCTAGAATTTATATTTGATTCTTGTTTACACATTCCAGGTTTTTTGTGAAATTCTCTTTTCTTCAACATATTATTTACACAATTTTAAAGTTGCTCTACGATAGTGCTGCTAATGGCTCATTTGTGAAGTTGCCTTTTAAAATTTTTTAAGTTTTAATTTTTGTTGGCACATAGTAGGTGTATATATGTATTGGGTACATAAGATATTTTGATGCAGCATACAATGCATAATAATCACATCAGGGTAATGAGGCATTCATCAACTCAAGCATGTATCCCGTCTTTCTGTTATAAACAATTCAAGACACTCTTTTAGTTATTTTTAAATGTACAATTAATTATTATTGACTGTAGTCACCTTGCTGTGATACTAGATTTTGTTCATTTTATCTAATTATAATTTCATACCCATTAACCATTCCCACTATCCTCCACCCCCAACTATGGAGCTCAGCCTCTGGTAACCATAATTGTGCTCTCTACCTCCATGAGTTTAGTTGTTTTAGCTTTTAGCTCCCATAAATAAGTGGAAACATCTAAAGTTTTTCTATGCCTGGCTTATTTCACTTAATATAATGACCTCCAGTTTTATCCATGTTGTTGCAAATGACAGAATCTCATACTTTTTATGGCTGTATAGTACTTAATTGTGTGTATGTACCATATTTTCTTTATTCATCTGTTGACGGACACGAGCTGCTTCCAAATATTGGTCATTGTGAACAGTGAGAGTACAGTGAGCAATAAACATGAGAGTGCAGATATCTCTTCAATATTCTGATTTCCTTTCTTTCCTTTCTTAGGGTACATACCTAGCAGTGGGATTGCTGGATCATATGGAAGTTCTATTTTTAATTTTTTGAGGAACCTCCAAACTGTTCTCCATATTTTTGTATTAATTCACATTCTCACCAACAGTGTATGAGGGTCCCCTTTCCTCAACTTCCTCACCAGCATATGTCATTGCCTGTCTTTTGGATAAGAGCCATTTTTAAAACGGGGGTAAGATAGTATCTCATTGTAGTTTTCATTTGCATTTTTCTGATGATAATGATGTTCATCATTTGTATGTCTTCTTTTGAGAAATGTCTATTCAGATCTTTTGCCCATTTTAAAATCAGATTACAAGTTTTTTTTCCTGTTGACTTGTTTAAGCACTTTCTATATTCTGGTTATTAATTCCTTGTCAGATGGATAATTTGCAAACATTTTCTCCCATTCTATGAATTGTCTCTTCATTTTGTTGTTTCCATTGCTGAGAAGAATCCTTTTAACTTTATGTGATCTCACTTGTCTATTTTGCTTTGGTTCGCTTTGCTTGTGGGATATTACTCAAGAAATCTTTGCATAGTCCATTGTCCTGAAGAGTTTCCCCAATATTCTCTTGTAGTAGTTTCATAGTTTGTGGTCTTAGATTTAAGTCTTTAATTCACTTTATTTTTGTATATGGTGAGACATAGGGGGTCTAGTTTTATTCTTTTGCATATAAATGTCCAGTTTTCTCAGCACCATATATTAAGGAGACTGCCCTTCCCCAATGTATGTTCTTGGCACCTTTGTCAAAAATGAGTTCACTGTAGGTTTATGGATTTATTTCTGGGTTTTTTACTGTTCCATTGATCAGTATCCTCCTTTATTTCTTTCTTTTACCTAATTGCTCTAGCCAGGACTTCCAACCTTACATTGAATAAAAATGGTGAGAGTAGGCATCCTTATCTTGCTCCAGCTCTTAGAGGAAAGGCTTTCACTCCTCTCAGGGCAATGCTTGCTATGGGTTTGTCATACATGGGCTATATTATTTTGAGATATGTTTCTTTTATACCCAGTTTGTTTGTTGAAAAATTTTTTTTATCATAAAGGGATATTGGATTTCATCAATTTTTTTCCAGCATCTATTGACATAATCATATGGTTTTCGTTCCTGTTTCTGGTAATGGGATATATCACATTTGTTGATTTACATATGATGAACCATCCTTGGATCTTTAAAATGAATCCCACTTGATCATGAGGAATAATCTTTTAAATATGTTGGTGAATCTGGTTTACTTGTTGGGAATTTTTGCATCTGTGTTCATCAGGGATTTTGGCTGGTGCTTTTCTTTGTTGTGTCTTTGTCTGGTTTTGGTATCATGGTAATGCTGGCCTACAGGATGAATTTGGAAGTATTCCCTTCTCTTTAAGTTTTTTTGAACAGTTTGAGTAGAATTGTTATTAGTTCTTTAAACGTTTGGTAGAATTTAGCAAAGAACTCATCAGGTCTTGATCTTTGCTTTGATGAGAGACTTTTTATTATGTCTTTGATCTTGCTACTTGCTATTGGTATTTAATAGTTTTTTCTATTTCTTTATGGTTCCATCTTGGTAAGGGGTATATGTCCAGGACTACCTATTTCGTCTGGAATTTTCAATTTATAGAAGTATAGTTATTTACAATAGTCTGATGATTCATTGTGTTTCTGTGTTCTCAGTTGTCATGTCTCCTTTTTGTTTCTGATTTTATTTATTTGAGTCTTCTCTCTTTTTTTTATTCAGTCTTGGTAAGGTTTCGCAATTTTGTCTTCAAAACAAAAAAACAAATTTTTGTTTTGTTGATCTTCCATATTTTTTGTAGTCTCCATTTCATTTACTTTTGCTGTGAACTTCATTATTTCTTTTCTTCTACTAACTTTGGGTTTGGTTTGTCTTTATTTTTCTATGTCCTTGAGGTAAATTATTAGGTTGTTTATTTGACATCTTTCTACTTTTTTGGTGTAGAAATTTATTGCTATGAATTTCCCTCTTGCTGCTGCTTTTCCTGTATCCCATAGATTTAGGTATGTTGTATTTCCATTTTTATTTGTTCCCAGACATTATTAAATATCTTTCTTAATTTCTTCATTGACCCATTGGATATTCAGGGGCATATTGTTTAATTTCCATGTATTTGTGTAGTTTCCTAGGCTCTTTTATCATTGATTTTTATTTTATTCTATTGTGGTCAGAAAACGTACCTGAAATGATTTTCATTTTTTGAAATGTGTTCGAAATTGTTTTGCGTCCTATAATGTGGTCTATTCTGGAAAAATGTTTCATGTACTGATGAACAGAATGTGTAATCTGCATCCGTTGGGTAAAAAGTTCTGTAAATGTCATTTGATCTAGTGTATAATTCAACTATGATGTTTTATTTTTTATTATCTGTCTGAATGCTCTATCAGTTGATGTCTATTAATTTTTCATTCATATGCTTGGGAGCTCTGGTATTGAGTGCATAGATATAAAAATTAATTGTTGTATCCTCTTGCTGAATTGATTCCCTTATCATTGTACAGTGACCTTCTTTGTCTCTTTTTATAATCTTTGATTTATGGTCTATTTTATCTGATATAAGTATAGCTACTCCTGCTTTTTTATGGTTTTCTGTTCTGTGGAATATCTTTTTTCATTCTTTCACTTTCAGTCTATGAGTGTTTTTATACATGAAGTGGGTTTCTTGTAGATAGCATAGAATTGAGTCTTATTTCTTTATCCACTCAGCCCTGTCTTTTAATTGGAGAATTGAGCCTATTTACATTTCATGTTATTGATAAGTAAGGACTTACTACTGCCATCTTGTTGCTTGTTTTCTGCTTGTTTTATAACTCCTTTCTTCCTTTCTTACTGTCTCTCTTTAAATGGTTTTCTCTGATAGTATGTTTTAATTTGTTGGCTTTTATTTTTAGTGCATCTATTATAAATGTTTGCATTGTGGTTATCATGAGGCTTACAAAAAACATCTTCTAGGTACTACAAGTTATTTTTAAAAGATTACAACTTAGATTACAAAAACGGAATATAAACAAAAAAAGGAACAAATGGGGAAGAAACCTTTACACTTTAACTCAATTCCTCCACATTTTGGCTTTATAGTGTCTCAATATATATATTTTTATATTACCTATCTCTTAATAAGTTGCTGTAGCTATTAATGTTTTGGATAGATTTGTATTTTTGGCATCATGATGGAGTTACAAATAGTTGCAAATCGCAATGTGGTATTAGAATATTCTGTGTTTGTTCATGTACTTAATTTTACCAGTGGGCTTTATACTTTCAAATGGTTTTGTTTTGCATATTACTGGACCTTTTTCTTTCAGACTGAAGAACTCCCTTTAGAATTTTTGTAACATGGGTCTGGTGGAGGTGAATTCTCTCAGCTTTTGTTTGTCTTGGGAAGAATTTATCTCTGCTTCACATTTGATGGGCAATGTTGCCAGATACAATATTCTTGGATGGTGGGTTTTTTTTTTTTGTTTTTGTTTTTTTTCTTATTTCAGCACTTTGAAAATGTCATCCCACTCCTTCCTGGCCTGTATTGTTTCCCTTGAGAAGTCTGTTGCCAGATGAATTAGAGGTCTTTTATGTGTTATTTACTTCTTTTCTTTTCCTGCTTTTATATCCTCTTTTTGTCCTTGACCTTTGAGAATTTGATTATCATATGCGTTGGGGTCATATTATTTAGGTCAAGTCTATTAGATATTCTCAGATGTTCCTGTACGTTGATATTCATATCTTTCTCAAGTTTTAGAAAGTTTTTGATTATTTTTTTACAGAAAAAAACAAGCTACTCTTATGGCCGTCATTAGCATCATTATCAACAACAAAACAATAAGGACAATAAACAGGAACTGGACACCTCTGCAATTCTTGAGGGAATCAACCATATTAAAGAAGGTAGAGAATATTTCTGCTTATTAAATGGAAAAATTTCAACAGAAAAACAATATATCAATTCAAATATTTATGACTAATACTTCTCGAGACAGTTTATAAGTATCCAAATTACATCTATCTCAAATGGCTTCTAAATGCTAAGAAGTCAAACAAAATAATTGAATTATCAGTTAATATTTATTGCAGGCATTACGTTGCTTTTAGGTCAGTTTTAAAATATTAATTTCTGTGTTTAATTAAATATACAGGGAAAAATAGAAATGTAGACATATTGAGGCATTTTGTATAATCAATACATATATTTATATAGATATAAATCTTTATATAATACATTTATACCCATTTTATATGACTAGAAGTATAATTTTACCATGAAAGTAAGCATATAGTATTTTTTGTCATTTTATTATATTTTTTAAATGTTCAATATTTGTGGGTACCTAGTAGGTATATATATTTATGGGATATATGAGATGTTTTAATATAGGCATGCAATATGAAATAATCACATAAAGAATGGGGTATCTATCCCTCAACCATTTATCTGTGTTACATACAATTTATTTGTGTTACATACAATCTAATTAAACTCTTTCAGTTATTTAAAAACGTACAATTAAGTTATTATTGACTCTAGCCATCTTGTGCTAGTTTAAAAAATGGCATGCATGATCTCTTTAGCAGCTCCAGCCATACTATGATCTGTACATTTTTTTTTATTTTAGCAGGTATAACTCTTCCCTATAACCCCAGCATTCTACCAGGTCACCCATTTAACAATCATGTTGATCACACGTTCAACCCACTATACTTTTATACTTTACATATTCAAAGAAGACACTGGCTTATTTATTTCCTATGACTGATCTGATCTCCCACTTAAGCCCTCACCCATTGGATTGCCATTAAAAAACAAACAAATAAGCCTTGAATTTCCCAGTGAATGGTGTCAGCCTCTTCTGGTTTAAACCATTTCCTTTGAATCTGAGTCTTTTGGGGTACATATTCAGGGAATTTGAAGATCATATTCTTGTCACCAAAGTTATTTCCTTCTGTCTCCTTTTTGTCAATTTGGCAAACTAGTGTATGGAGAAGCTTAAGAATCTACCTCCCATGGGGGAAGAGAGGCCTCTCTGCATCCTATATTCTGGGTCATCATAGACCCTGATTGAGATATCGGATACTGTTTGTCTTCTGGTAATAGCATCTGGCCTCCCTGGAGCCACTGACAATGTCTCTGGTTCTAGACAGCATTGGGGCTAATAAGGAAGTTCTTTCCATTCATAGGAGAACAAGGTCCCTTCAAGCTATGTCTTCTGCTATCGTAAATGATCATCCAAGATGTCTGCTGAATTTCTAGTCTTTGTGTTTACATTCCAGACAGCAGGAAGGAGAAAAAGAGAGGGAAGTCTAGGCCCCCTCTTTTAAGGATGGCTCCAGGAAGTTACATGTACCATTTCAATTTATGTTCCACTGGCCAGAACTTGGGCACATGGCTATGCTGATGCAAGTCATCCTGGCCAAGACTAAGAGTTTTATGGGTGATCATGAGCCCAGCTAATAAATAGCAGCTCTACTACAGTCAAAGAAGGAGAGTATGCTAAGAGTACTGGTATTCCATTTTGTACCTGTTAAGGAAGATAACACTGAAATGGTCCTCAAATTGAAGAGAGCTTGATTCCTAGAATCCCATTTTAAGAGGGTTTTCTTTTTCCCTGAGGTCACTCTTGATACCAAAAACTATATCAAAGTCTTTAAAATAGAGGGGATTTGATGCAGGAAATTGGCTACACAGGTGATGTAAAAGCTGAGAGCTCAAACAGGAGATGTTAAACCAACCCCATAAATTAAACTCATCAGAAAGCTACTTTCAAACTACTTCACAGCAGAAACCCAATTTCCCATTGCTCACTGGGACCAACCACCTTAGACAGTAATTAGCCCTTGCTCTGCCTTTTGTTTCAATAACATGAGGAACTCAACATGGCCTGTTTCCAATTTAATGAGACCCTTCTGTGTCCTTGGAAGTGTTCCTTCCCTAGGAATGAAGACCTTTAGATTGATAGAGGCCAAGGTTCTAGAAGAGAAAGCAAAAACTGTCAATGGGTTATTAAATATAACCATGAGAGGGACCATTACCACTTCTATCCTTTGTTCTCAAGTTCTATATATCAGCACCAGGTTGAAAATGTACACCACATTCTGAAGAGCAGCACCCTGACTTTGAAGTGTTTTGTTTTCCATTTGGCACCCAAACCATTTCATGAGGCCAGGTCCCTTCTCAGTGATGGAATAGGTGGTGAGTTCAGAGAATTCCAGAGATAAAAGCCAAGTGCCATACTTACCCAGTAAGATGAGCTTCTTGATTAGAAGATATGTTGTGAGAGACACTTCACTGGTTACAGGGCATTCAGTAAATCTATCCATGGTGGTTCTGGTGCTGGCAGAAAAGGCAAATCCATTCTCTCATCTGGAACTTACTCCAGTGAGTAAAATCATTGCTACTTCCGGGATAAAACAAATCCAGTGTTATTAACTTAGTTTATCTTAGCATATACAGAAACTTTAATATTAGCCCTTTATCAAAATTAGCATTAATGGCAATCTGGAAAAAAAATTAATTCCTACTGTGTACACGTGTGTGTGTGTGTGTGTGTGTGTGTACACATACATGCTTATTTGCATCTTCCTTGGGATGGGAGGAGAAAGATTTTAGGAAAGAAAATTCAATAACCAGGAACATTAAAAAGAATACAGGAATTCCTAAATAGCTGAAAATTTTCAGAAAATGCCTTACTCAATTATAGAATAATTCCTGCTCCCCACCCCATCCTGCATGCCAAATGAAATCAGTAGCCCAGCACTTAAAGAAATAGCAATCTAGTAGTTTCACAGGGTTTTAAGTCCTTTGCTATATGTGTAATGACCTGCTGAAAGTGCTGCTTGTTGGATACTAAATAGGTCTCATTAAAAAAAAAAGAAAAGAAAAGAAAAAAAGGAAGTGCTGCTTGTTTTAGTAATGTCTTAGCTATACTTGCATCAGGCGGCTTGCCTGGGAGGAAGACACCTATTTCAAGTAATTTTATATCTGTGAAGAAGTTTGCAGACCATGACAGAGACTTAGGGATTGAGTTTTCAAGTAGATTAAGTTTTCAAGTTGAAACTTTGTTTTTTCTTTATAAAATCTTTATATATTAAACTGTCTGGGCAGAATCTGAGGTTTCCCCATTGCTGAGATATTCATTGATGTGCTGTTTTTCAAGAGAAGTTTTTCAAAACCTTCAAATGCTGTATTTCATCTTAATTTATCTTTGATTTTGTTTTTGCTTTCTCAGACATACATTTTTTTCTCTTGTTTGGCAAATGCCTGCTAAAGAAGGACTCTTAAAGAAGCATTATATGCTGGCTGCTTAGCCCATGACTAGATTCTGAGTTGGTGCTTAGAGCTGGAAGAGCCTCACTGGGTCAACTGTCTAATTAAGGAATAAAAGTATTGAATATTGAGCTTCCTCCTTCCTCCAAACAGAAAGGCTAGCTGAGGATTCCAACTGACTGACCAAGTTAAAGGATCGATGTATGCATCAGAGATTCTGCCTGAGATTCTCCTCCCAGAGATTCTGTGTAATCAATATTCCAAAGATGGTTATGGTCTATGGAACAGGCTCGTATGTACACTCTCAGGAGACAGGTGAAAGGAGGCTTCTGGGTAGTTTCTCTCTGCATATAATTATGACAGCTCTGGGTGTGAATCTGAGCCCTGCAAGTCACTGGATTGAGCAGTAAAATGAAGTCTCATGTCTGGTATTCTAGTCTTTGAGAAGGAGAGCTTGTCATTAACCAACTGCATGTCCTTAGGCAAAGCATGCTGTGATTGGACTAAATGACCCAACGTTCATCTCATGACAATTCTAAAACTGCCAAGCATGTCCAAATGCAGGACCTGCAAACTTATGTGATGTCAACATCTGATGTCAAGAAGTTGGTGGTAGAGGGCAGCGTAGAGAAGAACTGAAACCTAGGAACAAAGTTGGTTTCACTTACAGTAAAAATTAGGCTTCAGGAACACCATACAAACATGACTAAATATTTTTCACCTTAAGCAAAATGAAACAAACATACCTTTCACTCTTCAGGGACTGCTAGATAGGGCCACAACTTCTACTCCCTTAAAAGCTCAACCAAAAAATACTGATCTGTGCAGCATTTCCACTTCCTCACCACCTGGCGTCTCTCCTCACTTCAGTCTGGCTTCGCTACCACTTTCCTGAAATTTCTCTTGTCAAAAATCGCCAAAAAGCCTCCATGTTACCATATCATAGATACACTTGAATTGTCATCTTGACCTCTCAGTAGCGTCTGGTGTAGCTGGACTCTCTGTTTTTCATAAAATACTCTCTTCTCCTGGTTCTCTTGGCACCATCCATTTCTAATCTTACTTGTCATACTTTCTTTGGCTGACTCCTTTCCTAGTACCCGTCTCCTGACCACCTGTAAGGGTTGGACTTTTTCCAATTTTGGTTTTCAGTCTTATTTTTTAACACTGTTCTCCTTGTCGGCACATTTCATTGCCTCCAGCTTGGGTCTTATGCCTACCCCATTGATATTAATGATTTAAAATTCCCACTAGTCTTACATGGAGTGGATAAGTTCCCCTAAAGAAACCAGAAGAGGAATGTGTGAGAAAGCTGCGGGGTGAGTAGCTTTTACTCATTACCTTTGATCATTTGAAAAAATAATTGCAGCTTCTTCTCCCATGATGCTAACCCCACAGAAAAGTGGCCTCAAATGCTGGGTTCACACCTTTTCATTCCATTCTCCTCCCAGATGCTTGACCTAAAGTTCTTTCCGTTCTTGTTAGTTCTCTCTTGCCTCAAATAGATTTTTCAATGATGCATCGTTCTGTTTTTCTTGTTCTTAGCGAGACGCTGGTCTGAATTACTAAAGCACTATTACAAGAACCACTAATTCTCAGAGCAGAATCTTTGTCTCACAAAATCTTC